GCGATGCAGCACTCGTCTGCAGCCCTCACCAAGGCACTCTCGTGCTGGGAAGCCAGGGCGGACGGGTTCACGGACTGGTTGGCGGGCTGGTCCGCAGCGCGCAGGTCAGATCGCACGGACCATATGCAGGTCCCAGTCGTGCGCACGACTTGGCGAACGACTTGCCAAGACACTCCCTCCTTGCATTCGCGGCGGCGCTGCCGATTTCCAGTGATTCCGGGCGGATCGTGAGCTTTTGGGACATTGGAGCTTGGTGCGTGGCAGCCAAAAAAAGGGTCTTGTTCAGCGAATCTTCACCTCAACGTACTTTGCACTGCACAGCCAAGAGCCGGTTGTGTCCTGACCGTGGTGTGGTTTGGGGAGGCTTGAGTTGCAATTCATGGTCATGGCTTGTGCTTAGCTTTTGCTTAGAGGGGGTAGGGGGAGGGGGGGGGGGCGGGTATGATGTTGGACAGCGAGGGACTCCTTGCCTTGGTGCGATGACTGTCGTGCACAACATGCTTCTGATATCGCTTCTCCACGTGATGGACTAAGCAAGTGGCAATGATGCATCCGATGCTATTTGAACGTTGGAATGTTTTTCAATGCGGCACATATGCTTGATTGCAAGCTCGCAATATGGGTATGACTTCGACGTGAACAGGATATGAGTGCGTGGCGCAGTTTTGCTTTCGTATTTAATAATATTGGTGCCTTGCTTTGTTCTTGCTTTGGGTGCTGGTCGCACCACCAGGCAGGGCCCGGGGATTGAAATCTAGCCACAAACATGAAGAGGAAGGAGTGGGGGGGGGGGGGGGGATAGGCAGCCTGCACTACATACATGGATATATATGTATATTAATATCTACTATCTATTTATTCATATTTACATTTATTATATCATATTTATATTTAAATTTAATCTATGTTTATGTTTAAGTTTCCCCTCTGTAGAGGCATTCTTCTCTTTTGGACCACGCAGGCTTGCGTTGCTCGGCAGTTTGTGTTTGCTGAGCCCTCTGGGCCATTCGTGGGGCTTGTAGGGGTCACTTGTGACGCATCCCGGAAATGTCGGTTGCATACTGCCGCAGGCCGCTAGGCGGAGTTGCCTATGCTGCGTTTGAGAAGGAAGACGGTCGATTTTTCTCTGCACGCTTGTTGCTCCTGACATTGTCGCAAAGCTGTGCTGTTTGTTGCATGGACAAATGTGCGTGATGAAAGGGAATGTGGCCGTGTCCAGATCCGAGCTGTGAGACGACTACATAGTTAAGCTATGGCCAGGCCTGTTGGGCGTGACCACCTCCCAATCAATCAAACATTTTGTGTGTGTTTTCCATATGTTGCCCTCGATTGATTTTCGCCTTTTCTTCATTGTGAGGGTCTTGCATCGGCTGAGGACCCACTGTAGCCTTGCTAGGGCACCTCGAACTTCTGCTTGCAGGCTAACGGAGGTTCTTTGAGACGAGGACGGCATCCTTTGGTAGCAGTGCCCTGCTTTCCGGCCCATCCATTAATCCGTCCATCCAAACATCCTGAGTAGTGGCTTCTGCCACGCATTGGTCGTACTCAAGGTGATCGAAGAATGTGCGATTCAACAAAACACGGAAAGAGACATGCATCACGATCGTGCTTTGGCAGTTTGCAGGGTTCGCTGGAATCTTGCTTTGCTCTACCCTGAAAAGAGCACCCCAACTCAAGACGACTCGTTCCCTGGCCCAAATTCCCCATTGGTAAACCCCCCATCTTGCACCTCCTTATTGGCCCAAGAAGGGATCGCTTGTAGTAGCGCCCAGTTTTTCTGTCACTGAACCTGTCTTTACACTTGCGCCGCGCCACCCAGCGCAGCGCCGGGGGCACAGCTTCCAATCATGGTGAGTCGTTCGTTGAACTTGAGGAGTTGGAATTGCTTTGGTGTGGTTCCAAAGGTTGAAGACATCCCGTGTCCAGAGGTGCACCAATTTTTCAAGAGTTCGATGTACAGTTCATTCTTTCTTTTATGTTATTAATGCTAGTCCATGTCTTCTTTAGCAAACAGGGCATGTTCAACTTCTGTTCAACCCATCATCTACTCAATGAATTCGCTGTGGATATGGCGCTTTGACCGCCCAGCGTAGCAAGCGCACATGGGGTTCTTGAAGTTGGTTCTGAGTTTTTGTTTTGCTTGTCGGTTGAGGTCTTCATCGGAGCGGGAAACTCCACCGCTTTCCAGCTTAGATGGCGGGCCAGGACAAGGACGGACCAATGTGAACCCGCGCCCATGTTCTCATGCGCCCTTGTAACTTCGGCCAGGCCAAAGCTTCAAACTTTAGATGCCAGCTGTTGTGATAAGACGTGCTGTAGAGCTTAGAGCTTTCCGTGTCAGATGCCGAGGTTGTGTTGGCTGAGCTGCAAGCACTTATCTGCCAAGCTTTCGATAGATTCAGAACACGACGGCCTGAGCAGGGCGTTCCAAGATGTACATGCTTCCTCTTCATTGCGGCAATAACATGCAGCTCTGGCATGGTTGAGAAATTTGAGATGCAGTCAGTGCATGATTCGGCGTGGGGCCCGGTGATTTTGAGGCTTGTGTAAGCTTCATGCAGCTTGATGTCCCTCACCGGGCTTTCTGTTCGGGGTTCCATATCGTGGGTTCATGCGCATGCATGCTGCAGCACAGCACTGCAATTTACATCATTGCTTTGCTTCCGGCGAACATGCGCACGTTACAAATATTCATAATGCATGCATGTCATCATGAAGTAAGTCCACATCTTACGACGTGTTTCGCAGCCATGCGTTGAAGGTGAGTATGTTTGGAATGCAGTGCATCGTAGATGCCGCGCAATGCAGTAATGTAACTTCATGTCGTTCCAAAAGTCTTTTCCAGGCGTAGGGTTCTGCAATATAGTTGATGCTGTGCTGCGGCAATTTCCCTCGTTAGTTCCCCTTTGCAAAACCCTTCATGGCGTCTTTGAGGAGTTCGACAAGCACCAACTAGTGCCCATGCCCGATTGTTATTTCGCGCAGTGTTGTGTTCTTGCTTGAATGCATCGTTCCACACGCACACGCGCACGTGCACTATTACAAACATAAAAACCCTCCAAACCCAGAATCCTGGCACCCAAGACCCCAGGACCCTCAGACCATGGAATGCCTCTTTCTGCAGATGTGCTGGCAGGTCACGTGATGGTCCTTGTGGGCAATATCTCCACGGCGATGATGTTGAAGAACCTTGGGTCGCCAGGACCTTACATCCAAAGGATTTTTTCAAGTTCTCCATCTTCAGACCTAATCAGTTTCCGTGCTCATGTTCATGCACTCGTGACATCTCCTGTTCCGAGTTTTGTACCACCCTCATAAGTAGCTCGGTTTCATTCCGTAGTGTTGCGCGCTCTCAGAAGTAGCGGTTGGCCTCTAGGTGACGGTGACCTTGATATTTGCAGCCCTTTTTCGATTCGGCTTGAGAGGCACGCTTGGCACCCTGAGCACATGCCAACTCATCCCCAGGAAGCAGCAAGGTCGAAAAAACCCAAACGGAATGTTGCCCGTAAAGCCTAGTGCTGGAAGTGGTACCACAGGACACCAAAGGTACATACTGTAGTCGTCGCTGCTTATCCGCCCAGGTCTGCTGGTGGCTGGGGGAACGTAGCCTTCAGCGTCACGTGCACCTGCCGTGCTTGGGGAGCCAGGTGATGGTTCTGCATTCTAGGGTTTAGGGTTTAGGGTTTAGAGTTTAGGGTTTAGGGTTTAGGCTCATTGCAGATCCCTGAATATGGTAGCGCTCTGAAGCCCCTGTACACCCACAAGGAGGGCACGTTGACCGCTTTCAGCCTCGGCTTCTGCTCGTTTCTGCTTTGTGGGCTGAAGGTGCTGTTGCAGGGAGCTGAAAAAGGCTCAGGGTGTGGGTTTAAGTCGGCAATTTTTCGGGTTTGGTGATGTTTGGTGCTCGTTTCAGAATCTGACTGTTCTCACGCACACCTCGCTCATTGCGGCCCTTGTTCCAGGTAGATCCAAGTAATCCCTTACCCCGTGATCCTTCTCAACGGTCCCTCTGTTTTCTCACAGCCATTTAAGGACCTCCGAGGCCTCAGAAGCCTGAAAGTCCTAAACCTCTTCGGCCCTGCGACAAGTCGTACTGTACCCGCACCAGGCACGCGCTCGACACGGAGCTCAACCCGGCCATGACGAAGGCAAACCTGATCTTCATTTTGGGGTGCAGGATCAGGGATGAGCATGTCGGGCCAGGTCAGATCACGAGAATCTCCTCATGTTTCCTTCATGAGCCCTCGGGCTCTTATAAACCTTCTGAGACCTCTGCAATAGGTTACGCAATGGCTGACGAACACGATCCAGAAAACGAAGGCGCTACAGCAAGGCCGGATTTCATGCAGCCCCTGGTTTTGGGGCACAGCAGATCCTATGGCAGTCCTTCTCCCTATGCCCCCACAACCCGAAACCCTAGGCCAGTTTGGAGTGCAGGCTCCAGGCTTCCAGGCTTCCAGGCTTCCAGGCTTCCAGGCTTCCAGGCTTCCAGGCTTCCAGGCTTCCAGGCTTCCAGGCTTCCAGGCTTCCAGGCTTCCAGGCTTCCAGGCTTCCAGGCTTCCAGGCTTCCAGGCTTCCAGGCTTCCAGGCTTCCAGGCTTCCAGGCTTCCAGGCTTCCAGGCTTCCAGGCTTCCAGGCTTCCAGGCTTCCAGGCTTCCAGGCTGGAAAGGCCCCTTTGGAGTTCTTAACTTGGCGCGAGAAGCCCAGGCACACTGCTTCGAGGGTTTGTTTGGTCAGGGTGCAGGGGCACGAACCCAGTGTTGACTTGCCCTCTTCGCCAAGGTGGAAATTTACCCCCCTCCCCCCCGAAGTCTCGGCCCAAACTGAGCTCGATGCACGCCGGTACACCATCGAGTTGCTGGAGCACCCCAAAACGCCCAAATCCCAAGCCCAAGCCCCTAGCCTAAATGCCCTTGACGGTTGCGAAAGCAAAAGTCAAACAAAGTCGCCAGAACACGGATATACAGCTGCCGAATCCCTAGCTCTCTGTGCTACGAGGCATGGACACTGCACTGTCCGTGACCGGCTCCACCGTCGACAGTGCCTTGCAAAGTTACGCCGTGCCCTTGGTGTTTGCGCTTCGGGGATGCTCGGGGGTGTAATCTGGGGTCATGGGCCTCCTAGTTGAGAAACATAGTCTGGCCCCAGCCCGATAGCCACGTGACGGGACGTACCAAACCTCGTCTCCTAAGCGAAGTTTGGTGATGGAACCCTGGCCTTCCTCCATGCCATTGGCGCCGGAGGATGGCAAGACTGAGCCGGCGAAATTCAAGGCGTCTGGGCGGTTTTGGGGAGTGAAAGTCTGAGGGTTCTAGAGAAGGGTGGGGAGCATGATGCGGCTGAATGTGGTCTGCTCTTGCCCCTCACTTCATGTAAAGAGGATGTGGGGGGCTTCAGATTCTTCCGGCGGAAAGAGTGGGGGATGAAGTGCAGGGAGCTTTCTGTAAACTCCTCCCTGTTTTAACCCTGAACCCTAAACCCTAAACCCCAAACCCTGAATAGCCTTGAATCCCCAAAAGCAAAAGCCAGGAAGAAGCCTTGCCTGGCATCCATCTGGTCGCGGCAAAGTCCATGGATAAGGCCCTGGGATGCGAAAGGGTTTAGGGTTTGGGGGTGTGGGGTTTAGGGTTTGGCGTGGTCAAGGGTCTGGGCATGAGTTTGGACAGTTCTAATGATAAGACGGGTTGGGTGTGGGCATTGAGATGTAGGTTTCAGGCCCAGATCCTTTGCCAAATGTGGGTTGTGCCGGGGTAGGACACCCCAGCATCCCCTGACCCTAAACTGACTTTGTTCCTCTCAATGCCCCACCAGATGAAGACGCCCCCTCGATGGCCGAACTTGCAGTGAAGAGGCTTCTTAAGGTTCCGGACGATGAAGAGGAGCTAGCTAGTTTGCAGTTCCCCGTTCAGTTGCCTATTCTGGGGCTGCTGGGATCATAGCCACTCTTCTCACTAAAGAGGGTTTTCGGGTTCCTGCAGGTTTTGATCTGTGCGACAGCCGAAAGCCCCAGACCATTCCAGTAGAACCCGAAAACTCTCCGTGTCCGTGGCCTTTGAGGTAAAGCCCTTGGTGCACGACGTCATGGGCGAGCTGAGGCAGTTTCCGGCAGCCTTCTGGGTTTGGGTTTGGGCTTTTCGACCTGACGTACCCTGTACGGAACAAAGAACCTTCCAGTTTCCCGAATCCGCGGTTTCGAGTTTCGCCAAATGCATGGATTCCAGTTTCCCGAATCCGTAGTTTCCGAATCCGCGTGTTTCGTTTTTCCGAATCACGTGTTTCCTGTTTTTTCAAGTCCGCGCATCTGCACTTTTTTTGTTTCCCCAGCCATCCCGAACCTGTGTTTTCCAAATTTACCATCCGAAGCCCCTGAACATATATGCACTGAGTAGGGAAACGCTAGTGAAGAAACGCTTTCAGCAACCCGGCCCAGACCTGCGCTGAGCCAAGTAGCAGAGTGGCCGGGCGCCCAGCGCCCGCATCTCCTGCGGGTCGGGGTAGAGGGCTTCGGGTCTGGAGTTTTTAGGGCTTAGGGCCTTAGGGTGTAAGTTTGCTGGATTGGGAGCCTCGGCATGTCAAGTTTACCCACGCTGTGAGCGGATCCGCAGTCGAAACCCCTCGACCCTGACTATGCCACGGAGCCTTGTAGCCCTAAAGCCCCAGACCCTTAACCGCCAACAAAGCCGCAAAACCCAGACCCTAGCGCCTCTCGAGGCTCGGATCTTTCAGCGCCAAGATCCAGGATACGTTGGAAGAGTTCGGAACCGTCTCCGCACCCTGGCCTTTGCTCTCAAGAGACCTTAGCCCTAAGCTACCTACGCACCCTAGACCTATGGGTGCATCCTAAATCCAAAGGCTTGAGATTTCAGTCCGCAAAGTGCCAGCCGTAGATGACAGGACGGCGAGCCCAGACGTCCAAAAGCAATGACAGCTTAGCAGGCCCGCATCTAGGCGAGAGCCCCATTTTCTGCCGAAACGTATGTTTCGGCTGCGGGCGCTGGACGCGCGCGCGCCACGTGCCTACATCGACCTGGCCCCTCTTAACCACTGTGTTGACGCATTGGGGAAAACCCACTTAAACCCAATCTGGTTCTGTACTTGCGTAGACTTCTAGGACCGCTAGGATCTTTTCCAGGTGTAAGGTAGTTCATGGTTTGCCTGTCATGCAGGGTGTAGTTCGCGAAGGTGATCGCAGGGTCAGCGCCATGAGTTTCTGCAAGGTCAAGGGCGGACGATGGCGTCTCTTGCAATACCCACCCTGATCCCCAAACCCTAAACCCTAAACCCTAAACCCTAAACCTTAAACCTTAAACCCTAATGCCCATCATTGCAAGTAGGGTGCGGGGTGGGGGCCCTTCGGCGGGGCCTCGTGTGTTTCTCAGCCGAGGATCGCGCCCAGAAGTTGTTTGACCAGGTGTGGAGCTCAGGTCTACCTCGGCCCATTGGGAAGCCTATCTACGTCGGCATCAGTAGGTGTCGCAGTGGTATCACAGAAGATCTGAACAAGATGTGCAGACTGGAAGCGCTGGCCGCATGTTGAACATTGTGACGAGCTTGTGATGTTTCCGATCCTGTCCTACTTAGCAGGGTACCAAGCTTAGGGTGGGGGGTTCGCCTGTCGTCAAGCTGTGAGGGCGTGCCGCCCAAGATCGAACGTTGTCTCAGAACACCCTCAGAACTGAAACCCCAATTCCTCATTTTCAAAGTCCGTCTGCCAACCTCGTTAGCCAACCCTTCAGAGGTCATGCAGCAAATGGCTTCTTCTGGCGGCATGTACGAGGAGTCTGTCGGCATACGCTGGTGAATGCCCCTTGAGACGGCAATGTGCTGGGCTAATGTATGTAGAAGACCGCCAGATCGGAAGTTGGTGGGAAGAGAGTCGGACAAGGTGTTGCCCAGTAGAAAACACGCGTGTTAGGAAACCGTTGGCCTTCTTCACACACCCAGGTGGTGGAGTGGGAGTGGGTATCAGGCAAACTTCCAGGAGTGTTGACTTCGACATGCCCAGTGCGCAGGAGATGGTGTACGACACCTACCACATCTTCGATCCATATGATGACGGCCAGACCTGCCACCACCCTGCTCTTGTTACGAAAGCTTTATCAGTATAAGGGGGTGCAGGGGAGGGGAACCACCAAAATGTAGGCCAAATTAACATGTCCTTTTCTAAACTATCTACAAGTGGTTCTGATCATGTTGTGGTTTGTGTGAAGCATAGATTGTTGTGTTAGTCCTAGTAGTAGTTGCGCTTCCGAATAGACAAGCCTTCATAAAGCATCACAACTTTCATTGTACACCTGCGGTTTTGAACATATCTAAACCTAATAGTTCTTGTGGTTCCAATCTTGCTAATGCCATACCATAGTAAGAGCTAACGAATTCATCGCTACATGTATGGTCTATTGCAGAAAGCTATTCCAACTCTCACTAATGTTTCTAGCTGTTCGGAATTACGGCAAAATCTGTCATTCACGATATCCATTATATGTATATATAGATGCGGAATTTACCTATGTTCTGTATTTCATGTAAAAGATGTGTTTGCATAAAAGCAAACCTGTAAGGTATTGCCTTTGATGCAGGTTGTCATAGCCAGGAGGTGTTTGCTATTTAGTCGGACAAGTATCAAGAATGCTGTGAAAGTACTCATGTTGCAAATAGCGGCAAGCATCTGTTCATTGAACGCATGGAAGGCCACTCCCAGAGGCCAATCCCAGCCCTAAGCTGCTCACCTCTCATGCAGTTGTTTGCGAAGCACGCCGCACGCAGGTATAGATGTAGAGGAGCTCCAGCAGGCACGCTTGCCACGTCTCAGCGAGTTTTGTAAGCAAGTTTCTTTTGACAGCATAGAGGTTCGACGGCTTCCACAGGTCAGCATGATGGTGCAGCAGGGCGTTGAGCGAATGGAGCAAAGTTGCAGATGTGCAAGTACCTTTGTATCGTGTAGACTCGAGGAGCGCATCGGTATCTGTTTGTTTGACCTGCCTTTTCACAGATGCTCCCGAACTCTTGGCACCTAACGCTTGGGTCATGCGGTTCTCCAAGCGGTACCCTTTGTACAAGGCTCCCGTAGCTTCTTAGAGCCATAAATGCCATAAATGGACCCAAGAAAAGAGGTTGAGATCAGCAGTAGCCGTCCAGGCGCGCAGCACAGGGCAGCGAAGTTTGGCGCGAAGTTTGAAGCTTAAGCAACCCAATCCCAGCACAACTCAACCATGGACTCGCTCTGAAGCGACATACATATGATCTTCAAGCCTCGAGCTTGATTTCTGGGTGGATCATCGATGGTTCGTCGATGAACTCACGCAGGCTGCCAACCAGTATGGCATCACATCGCTACAGGGGCAGAAGGTGCGTGGGCTTTGGGTTTTGCGGATGAGGCCTTGCACCCCTCAACCTACCCGGGAGTTTTGGGTTGCATTTATTGCAAGCCGTGTTCTGTTACAAGTTATGACGCCTGATACCGAGGCCAAAGACCAAACCTCGGTGTCATGACACTTGAACCCCTAAACCCTGAACTATCCCAATCCCTGAACTACCCTCATCCCCTAAATTACCTTAAACCCTAAACCCTGAACCCCTAAACCCTAAAGCCCCTGGCCTGCAGACTGTAGTCTGGTTTTCAGGGCTCTGAAGCGACGTGTGCCCCAAAAGCCAACCTTGGGTCGTGGCGTGGAAAATGGGAGCCTTTGCGGGCCCTAATCAGGCCCTAATCCCAAGACCCTCAACTTGAATCCCTAGATCCTGAAGAACCAGCCGCAAATCCTGAGCCCAAAATCCTACATCCTTCTGCTGAAGTGCATGGTGGCTCTACTTACTCACTGGCAGCTCTGATACAAGTCTCTGCCCCCGGACCAGGCCGAGCAGCTCATGAAGAAGTACAACACTGACCAGAAGGGGGGAATTGACATCCACGAGTGCCCTACACCTTTGTCACTTTTGTGCAAGGTTTCGGAAATTTTTCGGGGTCTGAGCGGCCTTGTCCCTGCAGTTCGCCTAGGGTTTGCTGAGGTTTAGGCGTTGGTTCCTCGTTGCACTTTGGCTGGCATGGCCGAGGCGTGCTCGATCGTAAACGAAGGAACTTAGCTTTTGCATCGGCTTGCGTAGAACGACACATCTTGGCGCAAGACTTGGGTCGAGGGGCTAGGGCTGCTTCACAGGCAGTCTGCATGGTTGTGTGAGCCTGGCGTGGGCGTCATTGTTCTGAGGAAGGGTCAGCTGAGGGATTAGGCTTCAGGTGTTGAGGCCATGTGGAACCTTTGGGGATTTTGCAACGAGTTTGAGAACAGCATTGATGGGGTCGGAGCTGCTTGTATCTGTGCTCTTGTGGCTCTCAGCAGACCGCAATCAGCACTGCCCAGGCCACGAATCCCATTCAAGGAGCCCGTAAAGTGGGCTTTTGAGAGTTCTATGCCCGACTCAACCCAGGGCCCTGGAACCCCAGAACCCTATGCCACAGACTCTTGCTGGAGGTACGAGAAGCTCGTGACAGATCCATCCCTTCCAGGCATCTTGGGCTTCGGCTTCGAGGTGACCTAACCCCTCTGTATTCCAAGAAGTCTCGTACGCTGCGTTCAGGAACATGCCTAAAGTCACCCCTCAAAGCCTAAACTCTATTTGCAGAGCGGCAAGTCTAACCCTACGCTTTACACCCCTCCAAGTTGCACCTGCTTTAGTAGAACCCTAAACTCACCCTGCCATCAGCCTGCCGAAGAGGCTTGATGACGACCATCCTCCGCACCTATTCGAACAGGCCGGGGCGATTTTGGGTGTTGCATTTGAAGCTCCGCTCCACGCCTAAACTTCCTGAACCCCGCACACCCCTCGCAGCCGGAGGCTTGCTTCTGTGGGATCGGAGCTGAAGGTGGTCAAGATGCGAGCAGAGGCGCGAGGGGTTTGGCAGTCAGGATTCAGTTGATGATTCTGTAGTGGTATGGAAGTTCTTGCTTAGGTCTCTTCAAGGAATACGTAAGGTCTGGAGCGCATGAAAGATGGAAGCCTTTTTTTTAACTACAGGTGGCGTCAGCGGTCGTCGACTACCTGACCTTGGTGTGCAGCAAAAACCTCACCAAGGCTTGGCGAGTCTTGGGTTCTTGTTAAGGAATTGAAGTTAAGTTACACAATCAGAGTGCTACATGATTTGCTGTATCACCTTGTTATGGCAAGCTCATTTTAGGTCTTGAGTGCGTACCCAGAAGATGGATCCACAGTTCAGAAGGGCAAAAAGCCTCAAGCCTAGGAATCGCCTCCGTAGGCATAGGAGCCGCATCGCGTTCGATGCACGTCGCCATCACCGGGCCTTTGCTTCCCCCTTTTCCTCAACCCTAGTCTGAAAGGTTGGCTGGGTGACCGGCCGCCTTGTCAGCGGCGAACTCCCGCTGGACAGCTTGGGGGTTGGAAGGGTGGGCGCGCTTTGCTCGGGAAGGCCACATGCCACGGGCCTTTGCGAGGATAGTTCAATTTCACACCCCCCCCCCCCCCCCCCCCCCGAGACAGTTTGACGCTTGCTGGAGCCTAAGCCCTGGAAGCCTTGATGTTGTGCTACTTTCGATGGGCATTTCCCCCAATTGGGGTCTTCTTATGCTATAGGAACCCGCAAAAGGGTAGATGATCTGGGCTCGCGTGCATGTCGCAGGAGTTCACTGCTGACGTCTTCTACGAGTTGTACAAGGCGAAGACGGACACCAACAACGGATCGCCCATCGACGTTGGATCTCTGATTATCAATTACACCTTGCGCGAGAACGCACAGCAGGCTGGAACTTCGCAAGCATCCCAGTCCATGCACGCTGCAAAGTTCTTCCACCTCCCGCCCCAGGCAAGTTGCAGGCCTGACACAGGCTCATGAACGCAGCAAATCCCAAATCACCCCCCTCACCCTCCCCAACAAGTTCTCAGAACGCTGAACCCTGAATCCCGAAGATCCTTGGACACCGGCAACTCGAACGCCTCTCTAACTCCTCACCCAAGAACCCCTCGAAGCAACACCTCCGATGATTTTCGCAGTAGGGAGGGGGGCTGTTGTTGTTTTTGGGGCTTTTAGGGGCTTCTGGGGGCTTTTCGGGCTCCAAGGAGCTTTACACTGTTTCAGGTCTCCGAACCCGAACGGTCGAAAGGGCGGGGATCGAACATGTTGCTTGACGCTGCCAGGTGATCGCAGCCGCACCTTGGAAGCAGTAGTGTATTTGAGGAGTATAGGAGAGCTACCTGCTGCAGAAGTTCTGGTGTAAGGGATGTGGGATCTTTTCGAGGTTCGTGAAAACATTCTGTCTCCATTCTTTCTTGCCTCTGCCTCATCTCACTCTATTCAGCTCTATTTCTCTATCGCTCTCCGAGTTTGGGTGTGGGATGTTCGGGCTCGTGTTAAGCACGGAGAAGCGTAAGCAAGGAGAAGCGTAAGCAAGGGGCGTGGAAGGCACGAATCCAGCAATCCTCGCCGAGATGCCGTAGGCCCTAAGCCTTGAATCCCGGACTCTGAGGCCCCTACCCCAAGTCATCTCCCCAAGCCCTAAACCCTGAACCCTAAACCTTAACCGTAAACCGTAACCCTAAACCAGGTGGACTTGCTTGCCACGCCTGCCTTCTTCGCCGAAGAGGGCTTCGACATCACCATTGCAGACGAGACCGTTAGCCAGGTGAGAGCTGTTGAAGCTGTTGAAGAAATGGAGAGACACAGTTCTGTAAACCCTGATGCCTGAGCCATACCCTAAGGCCCAAATGCCAAAATGTCCAAACCCTACAGGGGTTGCAAGGGGATTTTTCAAATAACTGTTTAGGCTCCTTCAACAGCGCTGCAGGTGGTGACCTGGATCGAGATGTCCGACTTCGGAAAGGATCGCGAGCTCTGAGTTGGCTTGTTCAAGGATTTAGGAGGTATCGGCCCTGAACCCAAAACCCAAAACCCAAAACCCAAAACCCAAAACCCTAAACCCTAAACCCTAAAATGGGGTTTGGGAAGTAGGGAGCAGCGAGCACCGGCTCTTCCGAGATGCTTCAAAAGCCGGCCCCGCTGAAATCATTTGCTGCACGAGCATGAATATCCGCGAATGATGATAAGATTACGGAAGATGATGATAAGATTAAGGAAAAGGTATTGTCTTCATTTCGAAAAATGGGGTGCCACTTCTGCAGCATGCGGAGTAGGTTTCCCCCCCAGAAGCCCAAAAGCGAAGATCAGAGCGCGAACCCTGGCCACTCGAAGAGCTGCGGCCAAGAACTTGCACCCCACCGGAAGCCATCCAGAACGCTGCCCCACGACTTTCCTCCCCCGTGTATGCACTTTTCCTAAGGATTTTGTACAGCCCCCTTATCAAGGGTGTGTTTCCTGGTGTGTTGGGGTTCGTCTTGGGAGGCCGCTCTCTTGAAGCTCGCGAAGGTGAAGCCCAGCAATGGCCAGACCTTTGCGGAGGCCTATGATGAGGAGGCGGGCCAAGAAGCTCAAGCTGAAAGCATACCAGCTGAGAGGTTTCGGAGCCTAGATAGCCGGGCTGTTTTTGTGGGTCTCAGCAGGTTTGGGGTCCAGTCGCCCCCACTTTCCTCCGGAGCTTTGGTTCAGGAATGCTCGACGCGAAGAGGGTGCCCTCCTTGTAGAGCCTCTGTGGCTATCTGCCAATGATGCCCCCGAAAGCCTGCAGCCAACAGACATGTGACATGCAGGTGAAGGCGCGGGAAGTGAAGTACTCTGCTGCCCATGGCCTGGGCACTCCAGAAGCCAACAGCCCCCGCCTCAGTCCTGTTCGGGGGCTTGGGGTTTGGAGGTTACGGGCTGGAGTGTGCAGGGTTTGCGGATGTAGGGATTCAGGGGTTAAGGCTTTGTCGTGGATAGAGGCCGCGCCTTTTTTGTGACCATAATTTGGCATGCATGCTTCACAACGGCGCTCTGAACTCTGAACCCTGTACCCGAAACACCCTGAACTACCCTAGTTCCCTAAGCTCGTCTTCCCTTCCCATCCTTAAAGCCTAAACCCTCAACCCTAAATCACCCGAAACTGTGAGCCATCTTCTTATGGATCTTCTCTTCGCCAGAGGCTATCACACCCAGGCGGCGGAGAGGCTGAGGCCTTGGGGGGTTTGGGGGGGTTTGGGGGGGTTTGGGTCTTCAGAGACCTGACCTCAGATGTGAGTCTCCTAAACTGAAGATCGTGACGACGATTCTCCCCCCCCCCTCCGCTACCCAAAAATCGCGACGATGGTTCCCCCCCCAAAATTTACAGTGCCCAGGGTCTTTATGCACCAGAGCCTTGAAGCTTTGGCTCGGGGGAGGGGGCGGAGCCCTTTGCCACTCGACAAAGGTTGTTGGATACCAAGCCCAGCCCATGCCAAGCTGGGCAGGAATGTGCTCCTTGGCGGCTCGGCGGCCTCAGCAGCATCCGAGGACCCAGATGCCGCCCAGGCGACGTGGGGTGTCGACAGGGCTTGGGGGTTTCGGGCTGTTGGGGATCGCACGGTTGAGCTCCCTGAGAGTATATTAACATATAGTGAGTTTTTTAACAGTTCAAGAAGGTATGTGGCTCTTACCCTCAAAGTCTAACCCCAAACCCTGGACCCCAAAAGCCCCCATCCAAACCCCAAGCCCTCAACCCTCAACTCCTCAGCCCCATCGGCCCTCCACCCTGCCTCCAGATTCTCAGGCGGCCGGAAGCTCCCAGCCGGCCAAGCCGGAAACTCTGAGGTTTGCGGCGGAGCTTAGCCTGAATGTGACGCAGTCGGTGAAGGACGCGTCTGGGGGGCAGGGGGGGTCTCAGGGTTCAGTGGTTAGGGGGCCTCGAGGTTCAAAAGTTTGCAGGTTTTAGGGCCTGCTGGTTGTAGGGCTGAGAGTTGAGGGCTTGCAAGTCTTTTTTGTATGGGGTTCCGGAAGTTTTTGGGCATTTGATGTTGTTTGCGATCTCGTGCGGCCCTTTTAACGTCAAGATCTTAATCTGTTCGTGAGAAGCCCCAAACCAGGCTCTTGTCTGCCAGGCCTTTGTTCCAGTCTTTATGCTGTTGCTGGCTTTTCGGTGAGTAGACATGAAGCAAGGTCTGTCATGCCTGTGTTCAGGTCAGGTCGCTCGTAAGAGAGTGGCCCCCCTAAAGAAGTAGGAGGAGAAAACAAAGGTGACATTCCGTCATAACATTCGCACACACCATCACACACTACATAGTTATGTGCATATAGGAGCGTTCTTGAACGCCCCTTTGCGCTACCCAAGTCAGAAGTTACAGGTGTGTGATGGTAGTCCGCCCGTCAACTCCAAGCTCGCTGCCCTGCGATGCTTCTCACATAAGGCTCTTGTCATTAGGATCCTCAAGGGGCCCCTCTTGGAGTTGAGCACTCGGAAAGAGGTGGGAGGGCATTCTCAAGACGGTTGCAGGACTTCAACGAGCAGTGCTACGAATATTCCGGCACCTCCTCCAACCCTCTCGCGGCTCGGGACAAGACTGGTGGATCGGGCAGAATTTGCCTGACAAGGGGCAGTCATGTTGGGATTTCCGAAAATAGGGGTATACCCTGTTTGGGGGGTTTCCTCTGAGGGGATTCGATGGTTTTCGGGGAATAAACGGGGGTACCCCCCCAAGGCCCATGGTTGCTTCACGTCAGAAGAGCTCCCAGGATGCCCCCCGTGCTTCCATGGCCTGCATGGGGCGTCGTCTTCTGGGAAGCTCTTGAGGGTTGGGCTTGTTGAAGGTTTGGGGTTTGGGGTTTAGGGTTTAGGGTTGTGCGATGCCCTCCAACTGCTCGAGCTTCGCAAGCCTAGGATTCGACCTGCAATAGCATCAACGGAATGGTCAAGAAGACTCAGAGCTTTCTGAGACTTGGGCCACAATGGTGCTTGAAACCCTTGAAGCCAAGAAGCCCGAAGAAACCACAACAGCGCCCGATAAGAAACCGTGAGAACACCAAGACGCCGCTTTGGACTGGTGGGACTACCCAGAGCCCCAGAAAATTCTCAGAAGAACAAGAGGCGTTGAACTTTGTTTCAGTTTTAGAGTTTAAAGGGTAAAAGCAACAAAGGCTCAAAGGCTGTAACGGTTCACCCTGAACCCAAGTACCCTGACGCTTGACCCATATTGAGCCCTTGAGACTCTAAATCCTAAACCCTGAGCCCGCATGCCGCATGCCCTCAAGCAACAGGGCAGCTGAGCTACTGCCAGCTGTCCTCTTGTAACTTGTGATCTTCGCTTTAGGGCGAGAGGCCAGACGGAGGAGGTGCTCGCACTAGAACATGCTCGGAGATAGTTGGTGGAGATGCCACGTGAATGTGTTGAGGGGGGCGGGTTTTGTAATCTTTGAGCAGCCTCGGCTCTTTGCCTGCATGTGCTTTCGTGGCCCTGTGGTCTAAGATGTCAGAAGCTGCAAGGCACATAGGGTTCAGGCTTCTTTTGTACCGTTCTAGTTTCGGTGAAACTAGCCGCTAGCGGAGAATATGTGAGAACCTGGAGGTTGGTTTTCGCATTGTAGGTTGGGGGAGCAAGGCGTGCGGAAATTCAGCGAGTGCTTGGGAAAACTCAAAGGGCTTCAAGCGTTGGGCTGTTTAGCATTTTTGCAAGCACCCTTTTGCCACGGTGGAAGGGTTCCAAGCTTGCTGCTAGGACCTTGATGAACAACTACGCGGGTCCTGGTGGGCCCGAGTACATAGAGAAGCAGGCGGACAACTTCATCAACGGAGTCTTGAGAAGCACTATGCTTTTTTTCAACCTGAAGCGGTACGGATCGCTCGTCCCGCAGATGCCTTGCAACATCATGCGTTGCCGTGAACGTAGGCGTCTTCTTCCTGTGCATATCCTCAAGGTGTGAGGGCTTCCAGATAAACACACGCGGCTTTGTGTTGTATGTGACGGTTCACTGGCTCCAAACAGAACGCAGCTTCCAAATCCAAAACCCTAAGCACTAAGCCCTAAACTTCCCTAAGCCCCTAAAAACAACACGAGAACCCCCTCAAGCCCGCCTCAAGCCCTAGACCCGAACCGAAGCCGGCCCTCCAGGAAGCCTGCAGGACATGGTCCTCCTCTCCGGGGAGCTCATCGATGAGGGCATCGCCTCCGTCCAGTACCTTGCACGGGTTTGGGGGTTCAGGGGGGCTCGAGGCTCCGATTTTTGGTGAAGGCCCCAAGATGATGAGACTAAGCCCTAAAAGCTTAAAGGGATCATAGGGGGGATGCGATTGAAGACACTTTACGAGAGAGCGACGATGTAGCACAATCCAGGTGCTCGGCAGGCAATGCTGCTGCATGCAAATCGATCCCAGAGACAGCAACCTGGACCAAGAGCCCGTTGAGTAGCCAAGCCCTATGCAGCCTAAGCTATAACCCTACAGTGCTGGCACTTTGAGGAATCTGGTTGAGGTATACCTTAAACCGAAACTTCAATCCTTGCGCTCTAAACGGCCTAGGGTTGTGGTGGGTACTGACTGATGCCATCCCCTTCAGGTTCGAAAGGGCCCTGAACTCTGAACCTTAAGGGTTTCCTGTCTTCTCTTTTTCTGGTGCCCCTGTTCTAAGGAAGAAGGATAGAGAGATGCTTCCAAATAACAGCTCGGTGTTGTTGGGTGTCTGTTGGGGTTTGAGAGGGCTGACCTGCCTAAGGACTACACCATGCACCTGAGTGGGGGGACCACCTTCCTCACGGACACCATGAAGGATTTGCAGAGCGCTCTTCCCCAGGTGCTTTTAAGGGTTGAGTTGAGAGACCCGAAACTTTCGTCCCAAGCCCGAGAGCCGCTTTCTGCACTTGTTGGAGACGATGGTGCCCCCCCTGAAGCGCTCTAACTTCAGGAGGTTCTTGGGGGTTAAGGTTCCAATTTGGCCCCCGTGGGCTGTTGAAAGGTTGCGGCGTCAGAGTTTAAAGCAGTCCGTATGCCCTAAACAGATTGCGAAATGTACCATACCTATTGGTACATGTCCTCTCTCTGCGTACTCTGGGTCAGATTTAGATTTCGGGCTTAGGGTTTACGACTCAGGAGGGTTTGTGGTAGGGTGTTTTGCTGTCAGACACCTGTGGGCAGTTTCCAAGAATCCTTCTGCCCTGACTTCTCTGAAAAGGTGATCAAGGCTTTGTCGACAGCGAAGCCGCTTGTCAGAATGCAAGCCGTGAAGCCCCAACACATTTGGACACGTGGAAGTGCCGAGCCTGTAAGGCGGATGCTCTACATTAGGGTTCCAGATACCGGAATACCCCTGTGGCCCCCAACAAAATACACAAAACGAGACCTTAATTCAGAACAAAGCTTACATCCAAGAATGTCAAAAATGACCTGAAGCCTCGGGCCTAGGTCTATCTCTCTCTCTCTCTTTCTCCATCTCGCTCGCTCTCTCTGTCGCTCTCTCGCTCTCTCTCTCTCTCTCTCTGTTTCTCTGTCTCTCTCGCGCTCTCTTTCTCTCGCTCTCTCTCTCTCTCTCTCGCTTGCTCTCTTCGCTCTTCTGTGGGTGCAACGAGACAACCGAGCTACCCCAACCCGGGTCTGAAATAAAGAGTTCCAACGCACCCCCGCCGTACGTGCCAGGAAGGAAGTATCCACCATTAGTGGGGTCATCAACTCCATCTCGCAGGCAGGTGGGCAGGGATGACATGGCCTAGTCAGCGCCATGTTCCTGGGAGGCACGCCAATTGAAAGAACCTTGTGTCTTGAGCCTTTCACCCTTTTGGGCCCTTGGGCATCTACCGCACAAGCTGCCTGCCGACAAGGGTACCAATTTGTCACACGCTCTTTGATCATGCTCAACCCCTAAACCCTTAGACCCTAAACCCGAAGCCCAAAGGCCCCCCACCCTAAACCCTAAGCCCTAAGCCCTAAGCCCTAAGCCCTAAGCCCTAAGCCCTAAGCCCTAAGCCCTAAGCCCTAAGCCCTAAGCCCTAAGCCCTAAGCCCTAAGCCCTAAGCCCTAAACCCTAAACGCTAAACCCTAAACTCTAAACCTAAACCCTAAACCCTAAACCCTAAACCCCCAAACGGCAGATGCTTGGACTCAAAGCGCCTCCGCTCATGGAGAAGATTGCCAAGCTGTACAAGACGCCAAGCCGGGGTTTAGGGTTTAGGGTTTAGGGTTTAGGGTTTAGGGTTTAGGGTTTAGGGTTTAGGGTTTAGGGTTTCAAAGCCCCAAAACCCCCCAAAAACTCCCAGACCCCATGCCCGAATCTGTACATCTTGGAGCTGAGGATAGTGTGGATTACCTACTTTGTCTTCTTCTTCCTCTTCAGCTTCACAATGCCCGCCTGCCTGCAGTGATTTCTTGATTTTGGGGCTCGTGTTAGGTGACGACACCTGCGGGCTGCAGACTTTTTGGGGGTTTTTCGGGTGCTTCGCTGGTTGCGCGAAGACAGGTGGCGGGGGGGGGGGTTGTGGCGGCAGTCATGGGTGCACACCTACAGTCGAAGCCAAAAGCCCCATGCCAACCCGATGGGTTGAGTGCGCCCAACGTCCGCTAGGCTAGCTAAAGTTCAGCCTAAATCCAAATCCCGATGGCCCTCGAAAAGGTTTAGGGTGCGGATTTCTGCCTTTTTCTCAGGCTCTTCTATGGCTTCTGGGCCAACGGATGGTTTGGTGGTCCGAAGGCACCCTTCCTTCTGCGAGCTGTCAGAGCTGTGAGTAATCAGAGTCGCACCATGATCCCTAAACCACGAACCCGATACTCTGAACCCTGAACTCCGAACCCCTGAGTCCTTCTGCATGGTCCAGGCAGACATCCCGGAGTCCGAGTACGAGCCGCCGCGGACCTTCTTCGAAAGAATCAGGACTTGCTGTGGCAGCTGCTTGGTGCCTTGCCTCGCTAGGGGCTTATCTTGGCTTCCTAGACTAAACCTCGAGCACCGAAGTACCGTCGATGCTTTTTGGGCTTACGGGGATGTAGAGTCAGCTTCTAAGCAATTTCCCCCACTGTAAGACTCCTGAGAAGTGTTACGCCTTGGGTTTCGGGGCTGTAGATACTTGTTTATGAGTAGTAGGCTTATCGGGCCCAGGAGTTTAAGGCCCAGGGGATTAGTGTTTCAGAGGTAGCCCACAACCCTAAACCCTAAACCCTAAAGCCCTACACCCTAAACCCGAACCTCTAAGGCCCCCAAGCCCCAAAACGGCCCAAGACCCCCCAAAAAACTGAACAGCCGAAGAATGAGGCCTGCTGCCGCAGCTGCACCAGTGGGCACCTTTGCTTCTGGTCGCTGCTTCTGCTAGCGCAGGTCGTTGTCCTGATCATGCCACCCGATGGAAGCTGCCCAGTTTTTTCGGGGTTTCTAAAGGGGGGGGGGGTTGTAGGGTTTCAGTGTTTTAGGGCTTTGGCCGTTGGTTGAGGGCTGAAGGCTCGTCGCCGAACCCCATGCCCTGAAATTGGGGTTGGCCTAAGTTAGGGATCCCGCTATCATCCACCTTATTGAATAGGATTCCTTATGACATGGCCCTCTAGACAACGAGCGTTGAGTTTGAACAACCCTTACATCCGCAACCCAGACGCGCGAGGTTCATCATCTCACTGGTCATCTGCCTGCTCACGGGCATCCAGGCAATAATCGGGGTTTCCCTAAACCCTAAACCCTAAACCCTAAACCCTAAACCCTAATCCCTAAACCCTAACCCCAAAACCCTAAACCCTAAACCCTAAACCCTAAGCCCTAAGCCCTAAACCCTAAACCCTAAACGGCTTATGATTCCTGACTTTCAGGTTCATGCCGCGTCATGCCGGGTTAGGCTGTGCAAGCTATGCATTCTTGCTACGATGTCCCGCATGCCTGTATCTCTCATGCTGTTGCATGCATCGGCTGTGGCATCTCGTGTCCCAGCTTGTGTAGCACTGTGTGATGCTTTGCCTGACAGTGGGCCACAAGGCACCGGTCCTGATCAAGACTTCTCATTGCCTGCCCAATGACTACCCTACTCCATGAGGCAAACCCTGAATCGGAATTAGGCGAATGTAGAATCTTCCTGTTGCGCCCTCGGACCTCCGCACACCCTGGGGCGCTCTGTCATCTTTGGGGTGTACGGGTGTCGGAAGTTGCCCAGACATGACCAATAAAAATCCATCCTATGGGCCTGGCCTCCGATTATCGCAATGCTGTCCTGCGCATGCAGATTCTTACACATAGTGCGCTAGGGTCTGGAGCATGTATGGGATCTAAAGGCTCCGTTTTTAGGTGTTTCGCATTTGGAAAGGGCTTGATTTCGAGTCCCTCGAATAGATGCCAAGGGCGAAGCAGCACCCTGTCTTGAATCTAGCTTGAAATCAGATCATACCCTCCCTAAAGCCTGAACCCTAGCCCCTAAACCCTGAACCAAAAACCCTAAACAACAGGCCTTCTTTGGCGCCGGCTGCTCGAAGATCTACCTCATTGGCGACGAAGCCGTCTGCACTGCCGCCGGAGCCTCGGGGGTGGACCAGGGTCTCGGTGCGCGAAGAAGTTGCCCGAAAGTTTAGGGGTTCAGGGGTTCAGGGGTTTAGGGTTTTAGGGTTTTAGGGTTTTAGGGGTTTAGGGGTTTAGGGGTTTAGCTTGTCAGCCCATGACCACTCATTGGGGTTTTGGGCCCATGTAGATTTTTACGCACCCAACTAGGCTGCTGATTTTGACAAAATTGGGTCCATGCTTCGCACTGAACTAGCCTTGCGGAGTGGAATTCTTGTTAGGTGTTGGATCCGGGTCGTTCCTTGGAACGTTGATGAACGTTGATGCGTTAGCTCCTTCAGCAAGACTTGCTGCCTTGTCAGGTTTTTTTGCACACCTCCCCCCCCCCCCCCCGCCGGGGTGCCCGCATGCGGGCGCCGGGGGGGGGGGGGGGGGGCAAACGCTGAAAGAAATGGTTTGCACACATGGCCGTTTGTGACATATGCCAGTGCCAGGGCAGTTGGTGTTTGCTCGATTGCTGTTTTGCTCAGTCGCTAAGCCCCATAACGCCTAGTGCCCACCTTTGGGTTAGGACGGTCGTGGTAGAGTTTGACTTACAGGTGCTCTCCATCTTCAAGGTCTTCCTGAAGACGTTCGGCCCCTCGGACTCAGGGGGTTTTCAGGGGTTTTTGAAGCTGCTTCGGAACTTCATGGCTCACCTTATGAATCTAGGACGACCCCCTCCACCCTATGCCCTAAAGCCTCGCAGAGCACCAGATATCTCGCAGAGCACCTGCACCACGAAAACCCTGAGTCCGGGAGCTTCAGGTACCCAGTGCTTTGGGCTGAAAGGCTCAGGGTGTTGGACTTCCGGGTTGTTGGTGTTGAGGATGTAGGGTTCGGGTTTAGGGTTTAGGGCTTATAGGGCTGCAGTGAGGCTTTTCTGAGCCCATCGAGCAGACATGCGGATCGAAGAGCTTGCTCACGTGCAAGACTCTCGGAAAGGCATTTATGTCACGGATTGTGGGTCCGTTTCGCTGCTGCTCATACATGTTTGAGCTACTGGCCGGTCACGTGTGGCCCTGACCGTTAGGCGCCGAGCTGCACCCATATCCCCACACAAGGGAGCCAGCTCTCTAAAGCCGACACAAAGCCATCTCGGAACCTGGGGATGTCCTAGAAAAGAAGCTGGCAGGCCCTATAGACCCCAGAGTCCCGAAAGTCTGCCTAACCTCTCCCTCAAGTTCCCAAAGTCTTTACAGATTCAGCCTCAAGGATGCTAGGGTTTAGGGTTTAGGGTTTTCGGGCTATAAGCATTCCTTCAACGCAAGGATTATCCGCGACTCCGTGTTCCACACGGCCATCTTCGTGTGCCGGGGCTCAACCTGTGGGGTTTCAGGGGTTTGGGGGCCTAGTTCTACCGTGGTTACTATTTTGGATTGCTATTTTATGAGTTCTGAATTCTTGAACCAGATTCATTCTGAGAATGAACTCGAGTTATTACTACGAATTACCATGCTGAGTCTTACGATATGCAGTATGATTGCACAGGGATGGAGCCAACCATGAAGCCAACAAAAACTTGCGATGTCCAGGGTGCGCGGGTTGGGCTGGCGGACCTTCCCAGAATGGTTTAGGGTTTAGGGTTTAGGGTTTAGGGTTTAGGGATAGGGACCCACCCTTGGGTCCTTGTGTCCAACACCACCCAAACCCCCCAAACCCCCCAAACCCCCCCAAAATTTGCACTACACCGGTTTCCACCTTGCTCTCTCGTTTTTTTGTGCGCCCCGAGCCGCGTTTTAACAGCTTGCCAGGGAAAGTCTTTCGCCTTCTTAAGATTCGGAGGATCCCATTTATGCAACGTTTCAGAGGGTTTAAGTGGTAGGGGGCCAGTTTGGTAAAGGCTTGCGGGGCTATGAGCCCCAAACACCCCCCATGAGCCCTTAACACCCTATTCCTCTAAACCCTAAACCCGAAACTTAACCCTAAACCCTGGATCTTAAACCCTAAACCCTAAACCCGAAACCCGAGAAGAGCCGCCGGGCTAGGATCATTGGAGCCTTGCTAGCGTCGGCCCCTCGCCTTCTATACACAGATCAGGCATGGGGCTTTTGGGCTGGGAGGCTGTCTGAGGATTTGAGGCTTTGAGGATTTTTGAGGATTTTTGAGGGTTTTTGAGGGTTTTTGAGGGTTTTTTGAGGGGAGGGTTTTTGAGGGTTTTTGAGGGTTTTGGAGGGTTTTGGAGGGTTTTGGAGGGTTTTTGAGGGTTTTGGAGGGTTTTGGAGGGTTTTGAGGGTTTTGAGGGTTTTGAGGGTTTTGAGGGTTTCAGGGCTTGAGTTGAGGTTTGCAGTGTTGAAGGTTTAGCAATCAGTGCTGGATGGCAGGAGTCCTTAGCCCAGCAGCTCTGGTGTTGCTCAAATTCAATGAAGCTGGAGGTCATGATGTCAAGCTTGCCATTGCCCGAGGTTTTCTCGTTTCAGATGCTTTTGGACTCTGCCACCAAGCACGAGCGCGCGCGATGTGCGCGAGCTTGGGAGGAGGAAGGTCTTGACAAGAAGGGCGTCTTGGTCGGATGAAGTAGCTGTCACTCTCGACCCTTCAGCCATGCAAGTGTCAGTGGTACTAGACCCTAATTTCCACACTAAACACGAGAGACTTCAGACCTGTCACCCCAAGACCTCACACTTCAGGGTGCCATGGGGCGTTTGCGCGGAGACTGAGGTGAGTGATGCGGAGCCTGGATGTGAGTTTCTTTGATGTCGCTGGGTGCGCTATGCCGCAACGCGAGATTCATATGCAATGTAGGCTCGCTTATGCGAGTAGGTGGAGGATCCTGCTGACGCGTTTGTAAAACAGATCAGGCCGAGTTTCGTCGAAGCCATGCCGTTCGATTGAGGCACTCTTCCCTGCACAAGCAGTTCTGCAAGCACCGAAGCTACTATTATAGCTGAGGACATTGCTCCTGTCTCCTTCTTTTCTGTGGTCTCGGCACCATTTCTGCAAGGCCGGATCATCCTCAAACCTGACTTTTGCATCGCCGGCCCGAAATCGCGCCATCCATGAGCTGAAAGCCGGGGCAGAACCCGAGCTCTATGCGGGATCAGGCGATCTCCAGATCTGTCGTGGCATTGCAAGCACGAGCTAGCTTTGACCGCAAGAAGCCCCCCCTTATTCTCCAGAACCCCCCAAGGCTCGAATGACACCACCCACCCCCCCCAACACCCTCCCCCCCCACAAACCAAAAGCCTCCAATCCTCCCGGAAGTGGGCTCTTAGCTGCGCGGATGGCCAAGACCCCAGCGGTGGCATCAGGCCGGAACACTTGCACCCCTCAGCCCTTTGCGGCGTCAGAGTTCGGGTGCTGTTGAACGTTGGGATGTTGCTTTTTGCTCAAAGCTGCAAAGCCTGCCGAACCATCTGCTCTAATGTAAGAGATTTCGCACTCGGAACGCTTAAGCCCTAAACCCGAAACCCGAAACCCTGCTAAACCTTGCTGAACCCTGAGCCCGAAGCCTGCAGAAGTCTTGGAGTCTTCCGCCGCGCTGGCAAAGGTGTAGAGGTGAGGGCTTTGAATGGGTTGTCTGTAGGGATTGAAGATTCAAACTATAAACCCTCTACCCGGTGTAGGGTTTGCGGTCGCAGCCTCTTGATGAACGCCTCCCTCCGACTCCCTGAGCCCTGCGCCCTAAATCCTAGAGGCCTGAAAGACTTAAGCCCTTGACCTTAAGACCATACACCTTGCATCCTAAACCTCGACACCCTGGCTTAAACGACTTAAACCCTTGACCTTAAAGCCCTACACCTTGCAAGAACCTCGACACCCAACCTCCTAATCCCAAATTCCGAGCCGGCCGGCTGAGGCACCCAATGGGCGCCATTTCCACATGGTTGCGAGATACCCTAAACGCAAACCCCACACCCGAAACACCAAACCCCCAACACCAAAAACCCTAAACCCCCCCGAACCCCCCCCGAACCCACCCCCCCCCCCCCCCCCCCCTCTGAACCCCCCCCGAACCCACCCCGAACCCCCCCCCCCCAAAACCCCCCCCCCCCCCCCCCCCCGAAACCTCCCGAAGCCTGAAGGCGCACCTCGCATCACCAAAGCGCTGATCTCGGCCGCGAGCCGGCCGACGACCCTGGACTCGAGGTCCTTTAAAGCGGTTGAGGAGATTTTAGGTGTTGCGCTAGGGGCCCCTACGGTTTTTGGTTTGGACTGTAGGGCTGGAGGGTTTAGGGGTTTTGGGCCTTTGGGTCTTTAGGTCTTTAGGGCTTGAGGGTTGTAGGGCTTCAGGGCTTTACGGCTTGAGGGTTGTATTTCTTGAGGTCTTTAGGTCTTGAGGGCTTCGGGCTTCAGGGTCAAGATCCAGACTTCGGAGGAGGGAGCTTTGGATCAACGCTTACATCCCTGATCCCCAAAACATACCTCCCCCTCAAGGAATAGAGGGATCCATTGCTGCTAAGAACCGGGAAGATGGTGCAATGAGGGAAAGGTCCCTTAAACCCAATATGATTCTTAGCGCAAGTTCCAGGTGTTCCAGGTTTATGACAGTGATGTCCCCTTCAACCCCCAGCACCTCTTTGGCACAGGCACTGCCCGAAGTCCTTGATCGACATTGAGGGGACCACGCTCATCTCACACGTGCTCAGGCAATTGTACAGGCGCGTCGGATCGTTAGGATGTCTGAAGCCACCACGAGCTCCAGGCAGCAGAGCCCAGTAAAGCTCGTTGATAGCTGTGTGTGTGCGGAACCCTTGTTCTTGCCCGTCGCACGGAATTGCTACCCACTTCTTCCCGAAAAAAGCCACTCCTGTTGCTGGGTTTCGGGGTGTGGTGGTGGGGTGCAGCATGTCAAGGGTGTTGCGTTCAGTTGTGTTGCTCGCTTCACGGCCGCACGGTGCTCAGATGCTGTTGCATCTCGGTTCCCTGTGGTCAGCTTGATCCTTGAAAGGGGCGGCATTCAGCACATCATCTTCGTGGTGTCGCACAACGGCCAGGGCCTTCGCGGGTTTCGTCGCGAGGTTCTCACTCTGCCTGGGCTTCTCCTCCGGCCCTTTCCAGAACCCCCAGTTAAATCCTCAAACCCTGAACCCAAGTAAATAACTTAAAGCCCTCCAAGGCAGCTCCCAAAACAATAGACGCGCCATGACCCCCAACTGTAAATTTCTTGGGCCAAACCGCAACCCTCCACCCTGGATGTCGCAATACGAAACCGGCGGTTCGTGACTTCTACAGGACAGCTGTGCATACCTTTCTTCTTCTCACAGCTTTTGAGCACCTGTCCTCAGCCCTGAACTCCTCGAGGCACGGGCACGCCTACCTCAAAACCCTAAAACCCCTAAAACCCCCACTAAGACACCCAGGCGCGGCGATCCAGGAAGAGCTCGAGCTCTGTGTGCAGAGCTTGAGGCAACTACGCCTCGAGGTGCCCACATAGAGCGGAGTGGGGTGCGCAGTTTCAATGGGTTCTTAGCTGGTAGTTTGAGATCTTGGCATCCCTAGAGGGTATGTGCAGGGTTAAATGAGGTACTTCATGTTCTAATTCCATAATTCCCTAATTCCCTACTTCGAACTAGTAGGTTCAGGAGGGATTTAGGGCAGGCCTGGTGTGATTGCAGGACTTTCAGACAGTCGCTGCGTCGGGTGATTGGGGGGCTTGGGGCTGTAAAGTGCGGATCAGGGG